AGTTAACCTTAGACTTGAAAGGATTAGATTGTAGTGATTAGAAAAATCAGAAGTCTGTTCCACAAAGCAACAATTCTTGGGAAGAAGCTGTCTGTGGAACTCCTTATTAATGGAATATGAAAGCAATGAGGATGATGATTCACACTTGTGTACATGGTAAGGTAGGTCCTAGTTGCAAAGGTCAGGGTTGGTGGAGCCAAGGAATGTACATTGTCAGAACACTTGCTATGGAAATAGCAATAGAGTGTGATGTTTAATTTATCACAAAGTGTTGTAGGGTGAAAATTAATTCATTGCCCACAAGGCTGTGTAGATACTTTTGAATTTTGTTAAAACAGGCAAATGAGGACTGGGCAGCTCCAATCCAGATATGGCATTAATATTCCATTATTGGTCTAATCTGGCTCTTTCAAAGGTAGAGTATCACAAAATGAGTAAGATACTGGAGCAGTATAATGAACTGACCAGCAATAGATGCTAGATATGTTCCACTTGACATCTAGGGAGAGTGAGTCCCAATAGACATTCAAGTCAAGGTACCTTCCTAAGAGAGCAGCTACCCATCATGATAGGTGAATGTTTCAGGGTCAGCTCAGTGGTGGTGAAACATTACTAGCTTGGCTGTGGATGGTAGTGGTTAGTGTGTCGAAGGACAAAGTGTCAAAAGACAAAAATGACAAACAAAGTCTTCAACTGACTAAGTATTGAATGAACAAAATGATGAATGGAGAAAGTGTCAAACAGACAAAATGTTGAACAATGTAAAAATGAACATATTGTCATGATCTTAAAAACTCTGTTCAAATAATCAATTAAACTATTCTAAACTTTTTATTGCTTAGCTTTTTCATCATTCAATAAATAATAGCATTAAGATAAAAATTCTATTTTTATTTTTACCACAATTGTAATTTCTCAAATAAAAATGTTAAATTTTGAATGCAGATCCTTGTTCAAAAAAGTTAGCAATTATGTAGAAAGTCTAAAATTGAAAAATAATTATTTACCAGCAGGATACTTGCATGTTAAGCAAAAGGTATTCTATTGTAGACACATTTCTAGCCTTTTGTCATTTAGTCAGTTTGACTCTTTCCATTTGACACTGTCTGTCCAGCACTTTGTTCTTTGACACTGTCTGCACATGGCTGTGGATATATTGAATTTTACAAGTCAATCCTTTCCCCATTAAGTCACCTGGACTGGTTTAGCAGAGAGATGATTTGCTGCTAAGTATTGGCCATCCAAATTTTTGGATGTGTACCTGTAAACTGTTGTATCATGCACATATATATTCACTAAGGATCAGAGTATGTTCTTAGGCTGATCATTAATACAAAGTAGGAAGAGGATAGGACTGAAGAGAAAACCATCCAGAGGATTTGGCATTGATCTTAAGGGCTTCTGATGACCAGCCCTTAGCAACAACCTTCAAGGACTTTTTAAGGAAGACTTCAAATTTGATAAAGCTTTCTAGTCTAAGAGAAGGAAAACTCTAAATTTTAAACCACAGAGAAGGTAACAGGAAACCAACTTGACTATATTTATCAAGAATGTGTAAATTGCTCTTTAGAGTGGTTTGTAATGCATTATTTATCATCTCTCAGGTGTCTGGGTGGAGTGAACTCAGGCACGACTCCATCAAAGGACACAGTCGCAACTAAGGAAAATTATAGTGAGAGGTGCCCAGCCCGGGGACAGCTACCCAAGGCCATGCCCTCTCATTGCATTAGAGAGAGGAATCAATGTTCATACCAGGGATGCAGGCAATTTTTGTTCCTGGTCTGGGTGTACGTGCTCGGGTCCCCACCTTAAAAAAAAGACCTTGTGTCACAAATCATCTTAGTGGGGAGACAAAGTAAATACTCTATTTATCAAGAATGCATGGTAATTCCTACTATTGAAGAAGAGGAAGTTGTGGAGAGCCATGATCACATATGTCCTGAATGGTCAAGGTATTTTTGAAAATGAAATGATGTAGGGGTGATCAAGTTTAATTATTTAATAAGCTGTATTTTTCTTACATACAGCAAAATTAATTTTATAAATAAAATTCCTAGATTACGCATTTAGAAAATAACCAAAGCAATTTCAAAATTACTTAATTGTTCCACCATTTTTTGACAGTGTGGGTAAACTTGAATTCAAAATCATCTCTCCAATTTCTCACTCCAAGCCAATATCCATTACACCACAAAATTAAAGTAAGATTCATTACTTTCACTTACACAAGAATACACTTTGAAAAAGTTATAAATCCATCACTTCTCCCACCAGCAATGGGTTGAATAGCAGGTCAGATTGGGTCTTTTAGCCTTGGTTGGCAAACAGTCTACCAGGGAAAGAAATGGCAACCTACTGCAGGAAAATCTGCTGCCTAGTCAGTCACGAATCAAAAGAAACATGATTGTGCAAGCATGTATCACATATGGTAATTAACTGACTGAGGATTAAACTAGCATTATGTGATACAATGGCCACTCATGTAGAAAGGAAAGAGGTGGTTTTATCTCAGTCTCAAGTGTTTTTGTTTGATAGACCAGCGGATGTTTTCTTTTGCAGTTCAGTCTTCTAAGCAGTATCCTCTTGAACTAAAAGGTAATGGGAAGTAAAGGTGATGGATGTGGGATTTTGGTAGCTCAAGTGGCAATAAAACCAAAAACAGTATATCTGCACACTGGTCTATATTAGCAGTCCTGCTTGGGATTGGTAAAAGTTCTGGTTCACCCTTGGCAAGAGATAGACATGTCTGTGTCATGGTCCTGAAGCCTCCATTTCCTATTGCCAACAAGCATATTGAAATGAGTAGATGTGGTGAGGAGTTGGGGGGGAGCTGACATAACTGTTAGTTGTCTCAAGTATCACCTAAAGGATGAGCAGGCAAAGCCCCGAATAAACACCTACATATGATATTGGAAACAGTGTTCATTTTTTTTTTTTTTTTTTTATTTCTCCAATATAGCATTTGTCTTTCATTATGTTACATTGTGAGAATGTATTATGTTCTTTCCCAGTTTTCAGTGAACACTGACAAGATCATAGATTGAAATGCAATGTGAGGCAATAATTGGCTGGTCTGTGTAAAGCTTGGGCAAAGGTCATGTTGTATGTTTGCATTAACGTTAAAAGAGAAATTTAACCAAAACTGTACATTTCAAGATTTAACTCTCAGAGCTGTAATTAATAAAACAAAAATGTATTTGTCAGCAGCAGCTTTATCTCTTATCCAAGAATTTCATTTCTTGCTGATCACTTCATTTATGATGAAGGTATTGATGGCTAAATTCGCTGCCAACATTCAGGGTCAAGATAAGAATCTTCTAGTTTCACTAAAATCTGTTCCTGTCATCTCTTCCCTATTGCCATTAGGCTTTGCAAGATTTGGTTGGAGGGAAAACAAAATCATAGAAGAAAATGCCAATGGCATGAATTTGATTAAAGGTGGACCTCAACTTGCTAGGAAGTGACCTACACACTTGATTTCATTACTTTCCTCTGCAGCACATTTGGAATGAGACATGCCAAATCCAGTTATGAAACTGTATCAGACAGCCATTAAATCTTTTATAATTTTCAATGGTACCTTCTCTATCATGTCCGTCATGCGTAACCCTCTTCATCCACTAGTTCAATCATTGAGATCTGTTGTAACCATCATCCACTTGTTCAATCATTGTGGTCTTTGTAGTTGGTTACACTTGGTCTAAGTCCTCATCTTTGACCTTGCCACCAAAGGTTGTCCTACCAGGAGTTTACAACACCCAATGGCATTGCTCTCAGAGTCATTGGATCATGCAAATCTCTCCACCATGACAGATAGTGGCCATCAGAGTTCACTATTAGACAATAGTAAAACCAGTACTGTAAATTTTTTTAAGTAAAGTTTTACATGGAGAGAATCCGCAAAAAGACACTCCCTCATATAATTCATACAACTAACCAATATCCAAACTATATACAATATGTAGGTCTCTCTGGGAGATAAGGTACCAATAGGGAGCACATAATTAAATTCATACCGGTCACATGGACCCACAATATTTTAGAGAGAAAAAAAAACAAAAGACTTCACATTACATATGCTAATACAAAAAAATGTCTCAAATAGTATGGAAATTCAAAGCTGGCTAATGTGTTACAATCTATCTTGTGCACTAACTAAAAATCAAAAGTACAGATGAGTCCCACCAAGCTTCTTTTCTAAAGCGAGACTGCAGAGTTGGTATACAGGGTGCGATGGATAAATTGTCTAAATTACACAAAAAGGAAAATAATACTGACATCTCATTTTAACTGACATATTTAACAAAATTACACAAAAATATCTTGAAATACTACAGAGTAAATTAATTCAATTAAAACAAAATAATAATAATAGTAATAATAATATTGCTATTGGCTTCAACCACAGCCTCCAGATGTCTTTGGAACCTCCTGCAACTCTTTTGATGGTCTCCTTGTTTAAATTGGTGAATGTTGCCATAATCCTTGCCTTTAGTTCATCTTTGGTATTACAAGTTATTTAAGAACATGACTAGAGTTTTCAGGTTAAGGTTTTGGCTTTGTACCAATTTGCAGTGTTGAGTAAAACTACCTCTAGTGTTCACTTTCCTTTTCTCTTATACTAAATTTGTTATAACTCATCCTACACTCCTGATTATGAATCAGCTGAAGGTTCTTACAGTTTTCATGTGCTATTGGTGTGTTCAGAATTTGCATATTCCTGAAATACCCTTGCTAATGTAGCTCAATAAAAACTTTGCCAATTTAGAAATGAGTTAGTCAACTTTCTGGTACCAATAGTCATTCCACAGTAAAACAGTATTAATTTTGTCTGAATCTCATAACTGCCACAGTTACACTACATTTTTACCTATTATATATGTCATCAGAGTTCATTTCCACTAACATTTTAATTGGATTGAACTTCAGTCTATATAAGTATATTCTTCATATAAACACTAATTTTATTTTTTTAAGACTTTGTAATATAAAATTCTTACCATAATCTGTTCCAATAATTTTCCCGATGTAGTCTGCAGCATGTCGTCGAATTCCATGCTCATACGCTTTGCTACCCATCTATAATAAGGAAAAGTTAGATTAAACATTTAAAAAAATATAAAAATTCAAAAAAAAATTAATCATATTTCTAAAACAAAAAAAAAATATATATATATATATATATATATATATATATATATATATATATGAGAGAGAGAGAGCTACGGACAGATAGGTATAAATAGACTGATAGACAGGTTTGAACAGACAGGTATAAAATAGACTGATAGTCAGGTGTAAACAGACAGGTAAAAATAGACTGATAGTCAGGTGTGAACAGACAGGTAAAAATAGACTGATAGACGTGTGAACAGACTGATAGACAGATATAAACAGATAGATATAAACAGGTGTGAACAGAGATATAAACAGACAGATATAGAGAAATATAAACATATACACAGAGACAAACAGATATAGACAGATATGAACAAACTGAGAAATAGGTATAAATAGACAGATAGGTATAAATAGACAGATATAAGCATACAGATATAAATAGACAGATATGAACAGACTGAGAAACAGCCATATGAACAAACTGATAGAAAGAGGATATGAACAGAATGAAATAGATATCTATTACACACACAACAACTACACTACCTAAAACCATATCATAATTAAAAAGACCAAATAAAATTTTATGACTTAAATTTGATAAACTTTATTTGAAATACAAAAATTTAGAACCAAAGAAAATATATAAAATAGATAAACAAAATATGTAAAAAAATAAAATAAAATAATAAATTTAAGATAAGCAAACTAAAGGTCATTGTTATAAATGACCTAAAACTTTAACCTGAAACAAAAGACATGGGAAGGACTGGTTTCTTCCTTCTCTGACTTGTTTTAATCCCTCAGTGACCTATATATAAACATGTTCAAAGAGAAATACAGAGTCTGAAGATCATTTGGGGTCATAAAAATAATTATCATTTCTATGTCTACACTGTTTATATCTACAAATGTGAGTACTCTTCCCCTTTAAACATAGCAAATTTTAAATAATATTCTTTAAAATTTGCTGTATTACAGAGGATTAGGGGTCAATATTGGATATAGAGCATTTGTTGATATAGACATATGGTCTGAAAATTACTTCAGGTGTGAAACTAACAGTCACTGTACAGTGTTGATTTCTATCCATATTCTGTGTTACAAAATAAAGGTGTCATTATTTTATGATGTAATTAGTAATCTTTTTATTTCATGCATTCTTTCAATGTTGATATGATTTCCTTCTAATCTTTTTTTCTGACAAACATGTGAACATAGATAAATTGGATAATTATTATCAGGCTGGGTGTGAATGCAGACATCACACTATGAAGCTCTAAATTTGATTTGAAATTGCTTTATTCTATAAATGAGGATTATATCATTAAAATGCTTTAGCAAAAAATCTTATTACAATGTTATATTTTTATTGTATTACTGTAGCAAACAGATTCTCATACAAAAATTAATTGGATCCTTTTAATAAAGATACATTCTTTATAACAGAGGTTCTCAAACTTTTTTTTATCCAATGCACAATTTTCATCATTTGTCAATGTCCTATTCAAAAGGTGTATTTCAAATAATCTTACTTATTATAAAACGCAGAGTGTGTGTGTGTGTGTGTGTGTGTGTGTGTGTGTGTGTGTGTGTGTGTGTGTGTGTGTGTGTGTGTGTGTATACGTTTATATATTGGATCGGATTTCCTACATTTTTCAACCGATTTCAACAAAACTTCACAGGACTACATAAAATTAACTTGTGGTGGTTCTGACAGCACCAAAATTGGGAAAAACACAATTGTTTTTGCACGAAATCAATTTGAAAACATGATTAAGAGGCATCACGAGAATGAAAGGAGGACAACTCATATCGAGTTATACTTATAAAACCCAGGTTGTTTGTGTGTGTGTGTGTGTGTGTGTGTGTTCATTTATATATGGGATCGGATTTCCTACATTTTTCAACCGATTTCAACAAAACTTGACTTTTTTTTTTGGCAGGTAGTGTTTCTTATTGTCTTGCACACTTTTTTCTTTATTTTTACATTCAGAATGCTTTAAAAATTCCATTTACAAGACAATTGTTTATAATAAAATTGAAAAATTCTGTTCAATTGGTAGACTCATAACGATTGAAAACAATGTTTTTGTTTGAGTTTGGGTTTGACCAGTTCGTAAAAAACCCAAAAAAAAAACTAATTAAGACATGTGTGTCCATCAACCTTAAACAATAATCTTTGTCAATCTTATTTTTCAGTTTTTATGATGGTCGATACTTGATCTATCTCTTACTGTAACATCCCTGGGTAACACTGGGCTCTACTGCTAGTATTTACTAACCACTTCACTATCTTCCTACTTTTGTATATAGGTTTCCTATGGTAATAATTTGGGTAATGTTTAACAAATGTTTTGTTAGTTTTGGAGGTATCAAAATTAACGCACTATCCTTTGGCCCAGTTAACAACAGACTGAATGTTGTTTTTAACAACAGTCACCAATTTGACCTTATCTAACTGATCAGATTTACTATTGAGACAGGAGTAAATGGTTGTGCCATCAGTGTAGATACCAAGTTGAGAGCTGATACCATTGTTAAGATCATTAATGAAAATTATAAACAAAGCAGGACCAAGGATAGAGCCCTGGGGGTCACCTGCATTAGTACAAAAGAATCTAGAAAAATGGCTGTTCAGGATAACTTTCATTTCATGATTTGATTAGAAAGACTCCATTAGTCAAAAAATTTGGCCAGAATACTTGTACAACAAACCCTGTCAAAAGCTTTTGAATTTTTAAAAGAAGGAGCTTCAGCATCACTATTTTTTATCTAGAGCGTGACAGACTCTCTGCAATTATTGTCAGGACATCAGCAATTGACCTAGAGAAATGAAAGCCATATTGCTTGTCTGGAAGAAGGCCCTGCAATGTGAGATGCTTAACCAATTCAGCATTGATTAGAGCCTCTAGTAGATTCCCCAAAAGAAGTAGAAGGTTAATCAACTGATAGTTAAAATGGTTGGACAGTTCAGCAAAGTTCTTAAAATCTGTAACAACAGATGATGACTTCCAGCAGGCAGGAAAGCAAGAAGCAGTGAGGCATTTATTATACAGTTTAGAGAGAACAGGAGCCAGTTTGGGAGCACACTTCTTAAAGACTATTACATGGATACCATCAGCTCTGCATGCTTTGTAGGGAATCAGATTAAAGATAATAGCAGAAACCATTGAAGGGGTTATATGCATATCACTCAACAGAGACTTGGTTTTATGTAGAAAGTTAGACAAGATGAATCAAGAGTAGAACTTAAGAAGAATTTACAGGCAAAACTTTCAGCTTTATTAACAGAGGATTCAAATTGATTGAAGAAAGGAGGAATAGAAAACTTACTCTTATTTAATAAGTTATTCCAGAGCCGCCACTAATCCCAAGAGTCAAAATTGTTAGATGCAATATGGTGCTTCATTCACTCAGCAAACGGATTTAGCTCCTTCAAGGACAAGTTTACATTTATTACATGCAAGTCATGAATAGGTGCATGTTGTGATGGGCGATGTTATGCTGGCAAAGCCAGAAGTAGTGGTTCCTGTGTGCTATAGTGGCACACAGGAACCACAAAAAGTGCTGATGTGAACCAGGGGATTGAGATTTGACCATGTATTTCCAAGAATTAATGAAAGCATCAATGCTGGCTTTGATCCAAGAGGAAACCTTAGTGGGTCAATTCAGAATATGAAAATTAAAAATGTCAGTCCAAGAGGTGTCTCAAAAAAAAATTATGGAGAAAATCAGTCAGCATGCTTATAAGGGAAAGAGGTCTTATGAATAGGAAGTTTCTGTCTAATAAATGATTAGAATGAAATATCAATAGATACTACAAAGTGATCCAATTTTACCAAGATTATAATGTTGCACTGCTCAGCATGAGCTTGGAGAGGAACTCAAATTTGCTAGGGAATTTCAACAAAACTTCACTTTTTTTTGGCAGGTAGTGTTTCTTATTGTCTTGCACACTTTTTCTTTATTTTTAAATTCAGAATGCTTTAAAAATTCCATTTACAAAACAATTGTTTATAATAAAATTCTATTCAATCAGTAGACTCATAACGATTGAAAACAATGTTTTTGTTTGAGTTTGACCAATTAAAAAAAAAAAAAAAAAAACTAATGCATGTCCGTCAACCTTAAACAATAATCTTTGTCAATTTTATTTTTCAGTCTTTATGATGGTCAATACTTGATCTATCTCTTACTGTTACATCCCCAAGCAACGCCGGGCTCTACTGCTAGTATGTATATATATTATTGAAAATAATCATTACTACATATACATTTATATGGATTATTTTTATAGAGGAATTTTACAAATTGAATAGCAATAGAAAATGTTGGATTTTTAAATTTGAATACATGTAGAGTACTTTTTTAAATTTATATTTAGTAAATAAACTGAAACATACGTCAATAAACAAAATTTCAACAGAATGTTAGGATATTGTAATTCAACTAACAAAAAAACTACTTAAAAAAAAAATATTATATACTACAGCAGTATTTCTCAACTTTTTTTTGTTTGATGCACTCTTTTCACCATAAGTCAAGCTGTCCCTTCACCATTTGAAGATGGTCTGATTCAAAAGGTGCATTCCAAATAATATGCATATATTATTGAAAATCTTTCATTCTTCTACATATTAAGACTTATACATCTACATGGATTATTTTTGTTATGGTAAAAAGCACAAGAGCTTGCAGAAAGAAAACTCAGCTGTGCAGACTGATGCACATTGTGGCTTGTGCTGACTTAGGGAGTTTGGTAGACTTGAAATATTAACTATTTGTGGCCTCAATTCCCCACTCCATCCAATGAAACCCTGAAATGGTCTAAAGGAGTGGTTCCTGATGCACCCTTTTCATCATAAATCAGGATGTCATTTCCCCACCTTTCCAAGATTGTCCGACTCAAAAAGTGCATTCCAAATAATATGCATATATTATTGAAAATAATCATT